TTAGTAATTTTGCTGTCCTAACAACTCCTAAAAGAGGACTCTTCCCACGAGTTGCCCATTTCCCTAATCCACATGAAAGAATTATGATACGCACTTGACACAATCTCCAAGATAGGGTGTGGTCCAATATTCTTCGAATTAACAAGTCACGAATATAATATACTATAGAATTAAAATATTAGTGTTGGACAGTGATTAATTACCGTAATTAACTTTTATTAGTTAGCTTAACTGAAATTTTTTATATTAATCGTAGTGAAGTCTCCTTAAGTCGCCATTCGGGAAGATTTTAATTAAGAAAAAAGAATATACTGTAGGACAAGTTTCAACCATCTAATCTGAAAATCAATTGTGTCTAGTGGGAAAAACTAAACCTTTTATAGTTTTCGATCACTATCATTTGAGTGATTCAACTCATGGATTTAAGAGCGGCCTTGTTGCTTCCCAAAAATCCCTTTCTCAACATGAGGTTCTTGTCATTCGAACTCATGACCCTGATTCTGATACCACTTGTAGGATCGAATTTCAATTATTTCATTTGAAAATCAATTGATGTTTTGTAATCGATTGGTGTTTTATGACATTCAACCACCATCATCTAAGTTATCCAACCCATGGGCTTCAAAACAGTCTTGTTGCTCCCCAACACTTAGCACATAATTGCATAGGGTAATTAAGACCTGTTTGGCATGGCTTTGGAGAAGTCAAAAGAAGTTTTTGAGAATCAATACATAGGCATAAAAGCGACACTGTTGCTCCATAACACTTAGCACATAATTGCATAGGGTAATTAGCTAGGGGCCTAGGGCCTGTTTGACATGATTTTAGAGAAGTCAAAATGAGTTTTTGAAAACCAAAAACTACTTTTGAATTCAATATGATTCCCTCTAAAAATTCGTTCGAAGGAAAAAAAAAATCCTTTTAAAAATTAATTTTCAAATACTATTTTAGAAAATTCTTCTATAGGAAGTAGAAAAAATATAAATCTTACTAAACAAGCCTTTGATTTGGGTGTTTAATCATAAAAACACACAAAATCTTCTATATATTAAAAGTAGCTATATAACGGAATTTCTTGTTTTTAACGGAAAAACTAACGGAATTTGTTGTTTTAACGGATTATGTAACGGAATTTCTTATTTTAAATAGGCAGCTGCACCTTCCTTCAATGGTTTTATCATAACTTTGTATTCCGAT